TCTATATATTTTTATAATTTAATAAAATATTCAAATATATAAAAATCATATTACATTTATATTTATCTTTTGATTTATATATATCATATATGGAATCATTTATTAAAATTTCATTATTTTTAAAAATTATATAAAAAATTTGTGAATTGTGAAAAACTTTTAGAAAATTGAAATTAAGTTTTTTTCAAATTTAATATTTGTAAATATAATTTTAGTTTCAAAAATTCCTTTTATTATAATTAGTATTAAGTTATATGATTGAAAAAGAACACATACAATAGTGAAAATACTTTTCATTTTATTTACATTATAATTATCAATATATAATTTATTAATATTACAATATATTTTAATTAAATATCAATTTCAAATTTTAATCTATTATTTCTACATAACATGTATGTTGTTTCTATATAATAATTGTATTACATGTATATGCATATGTATATATATATATATATATATGTATATAGAAGATATAAAATACTTATAAAAGGACAATTTTACAGGGATTATATAATATTCATATAAAATAAAGAAAACCTTATATATTGGAATTTCCTTATTTATTTGCAAGTATTTGAAGAAACCATGTTTGTGGGATATAATTTTTACAACTTATGAAGAAGATCTATTGAATATAAAGGTATCAAAGAGTTAATTTGTATGGAATCAAAATAATAAAATAAATATATAGTATAATTGTAAATAGTTTTCTTAGGAATATATTTAACTTTTTTTATTTACCAAATAAATAAATATAATACCAAATATATTTTAAAATATGCATGTATTTATTTATAATTTATATTTATATTATATTACATTATATTATATACATAAAATTTTTGTTTTAAAAAGTTAATGTTTTGTTCTTAAATGAAATATTAATCTATCTGATATATCTAATATACCTAATAAAAATGTTTTTTAATTTTTCTAAGAAAAAAATAAACACTATTAAAAGTGTTCTTTGCATATTGTATCAAATTTTGTAACATTAAATATATTATAAATTATAAAAACAACAATTAATAAAAAAATAATAAGGTAGTAACAGAATATCACTTTATTTTTATCATAATTTAAAAAATATATATATGAAAAATTTGTGTCTATTAATATATTTTGTTTGCTCTACTTTCTGATGTAATAGGAGGTTCTACAACAAGATTTGGGTCAAGAACCAGTTATATTTTTGAAAGACTTAAACTTTGAAATTTTGAAGGCCATGGTTGAATTCATGTATTGTGGAGAAACAAAAATTCCTTATCAATTATTATCACCTTTGTTAACTGCCACAAAAAAATTTAAGGTTGGTATTATAATATATATTATAATTATTAACAAAAATTATTTTGAATATAAATTTTATTTCAAATAAAATTATAATATACATTTAAAAATAAATTTATTTAAAAATGAAAATTTATATTGCATATTATAATATTTATTATTA